CGTTTCATTAGGTACACAGTAGTCGTTCAGGAGCAGGTTATTCAGTTTCCATGAAGTTGAGCAGTTTTGAGTGAGTTTCTTAATGCTGAGTTCTAATTTGATTGCACTGTGGTCTGAGAGACAGTTTGTTATAATTTCTATTCTTTTACATTTGTTGAGGAGTACTTTACTTCCAACTATGTGGTCAACTTTGGAATAAGTGTGATGTGGTGCTGGGAAGAATATATATTCTGTTGATTTGGGGTGGAGAGTTCTGTAGATGGCTATTAGGTCCACTTTGTGCAGAGTTGAGTTCAAGTCCTGGATATCCTTGTTAACTTTCTGTCTCATTGATCTGTCTAATGTTGACAGTGGGGTGTTGAAGTCTCCCATTATTATTGTATGGGAGTCTAAGTCTCTTTGTAGGTCTCTAAGGACTTGCTTTATGAATTTAGGTGCTCCTGTATTGGGTGCATATATATTTGAGATAGTTAGCTCTTCTTCTTGAATTGACCCCTTTACAGTTATGTAATGGCCTTGTCTCTTTTGATCTTTGTTGGTTTAAAGTCTGTTTTATCAGAGACTAGGATTGCAACCCCTGCTTTTTGTTTTGTTTTGTTTTGTTTTCCATTTGCTTGGTAGATCTTCCTCCATCCCTTTATTTTGAGCCTATGTGTATCTCTATGCATGAGATGGGTCTCCTGAATACAGCACACTGATGGGTCTTGACTCTTTATCCAATTTGCCAGTCTGTGTCTTTTAACTGGACGATTTAGCCCATTTACACTTTAGGTTAATATTGTTATGTGTGAATGTCATCCTGTCATTATGAGGTTAGCTGGTTATTTTGCTCATTAGTTGATGCAGTTTCTTCCTAGCATTGATGGTCTTTACAATTTGACATGTTTTTGCAGTGGCTGGTACCAGTCGTTCCTTTCCATGTTTACTGCTTCCTTCAGGAGCTCTTGTGTAGCAGGACTGGTGGTGACAAAATCTCTCAGCATTTGCTTGTCTGTAAAGGATTTTATTTCTCCACTTATGAAACTTAGTTTGGCTGGATATGAAATTCTGGGTTGAAAATTCTTTTCTTTAAGAATGTTGAATATTGGCCCCCATTCTCTTATGGCTTGTAGATTTTCTGCCAAGAGATCCACTGTTAATCTGATGGGCTTCCCTTTGTGGGTAACCCAATCTTTCTCTCTGGCTGCCCTTAACATTTTTTCCTTCATTTCAACTTTGGTGAATCTGACAATTATGTGTCTTGGAGTTGCTCTTCTCAAGGAGTATCTTTGTGGCATTCTCTGTATTTCCTGAACTTGAATGTTGGCCTGCCCTACTAGGTTGGGGAAGTTCTCCTGGATGATATCCTGAAGAGTGTTTTCCAACTTGGTTCCATTTTCCCCCTCACTTTCAGGCACCCCAATCAGACGTAGATTTGGTCTTTTTACATAATCCCATACTTCTTGCAGTCTTTGTTCATTTCTTTTTCTTCTTTTTTCTTTAGATTTCTCTTCTCGCTTCATTTCATTCATTTGATCTTCAATCACTGATACCCTTTCTTCCACTTGATCAAATTGGCTACTGAAGCTTGTATATGTGACATGTAGTTCTTGTGCCATGGTTTTCAGCTCCATCAGGTCATTTAAGGTCTTCTCTATGCTGTTTATTCTAGTTAGCCATTCGTCTAATCTTTCTTCAATGTTTTTAACTTCTTTGTGATGGGTTTGAACATCCTCCTTTAGCTCAGAGAAGTTTTTTATTACCGATCATCTGAAGCCTGCTTCTCTCAACTCGTCAAAGTCATTCTCTGTCCAGCTTTGCTCCATTGCTGGTGAGGAGCTGCATTCCTTTGGAGGAGAAGAGGCGCTCTGATTTTTAGAATTTTCAGCTTTTCTGCTCTGGTTTCTCCCCATCTTTGTGATTTTATCTACCTTTGGTCTTTGATGATAGTGACATACAGATGGGGTTTTGGTGTGGACGTCCTTTCTGTTTGTTAGTTTTCCTTCTAACAGTCAGGACCCTCAGCTGCAGGTCCGTTGGAGTTTGCTGGAGGTTCACTCCAGACCTTGTTTGCCTGGGTATCACCAGCGGAGGCTGCAGAACAGCAAATATTGTAGAACAGTAAATGTTGCTGCCTGATCCTTCCCCTGGAAGCTTCGTCTCAGAGGGGCACCCGGCTGTATGAGGTGTCGGTAGGCCCCTAATGGGAGGTGTCTCCCAGTCTGCAGGAGTTTCTGCTGCCTTTTGTTCAGCTATGCCCTGCCCACAGAGGTGGAGTCTACAGAGGCAGGCAGGCCTCCTTGAGCTGCAGTGGGTTCCACCCAGTTCGAGGTTCCTGGCCACTTTGTTTACCTACTCAATCCTCAGCAATGGCAGACGCCCCTCCCCTAGCCTTGCTGCTGCCTTGCAGTTCGATCTGAGACTGCTGTGCTAGCAGTGAGTGAGGCTCCATGGGTGTGGGACCCTCTGAGCCAGGTGCAGGATATAATCTTCTGGTGTGCCATTTGCTAAGACCATTGGAAAAGTGCAGTATTAGGGTGGGAGTGTCCAAATTTTCCAAGTACCATCTGTCCCAGTACCCATTCCCTTGGCTAGGAAAGGGAATTTCCCAACCACTTGCACTTCCTGGGTGATGTGATGCCCTCCCCTGCTTCAGCTCACACTCCATGGACTACACCCACTGTCCAACAAGCCCCAGTGAGATGAACCTGGTACCTCAGTTGAAAATGCGGAAATCACCCATCTTCTTCATCACTCACACTGGAAGCTATAGACTGGAGCTGTTACTATTTGGCCATCTTGAAACCCGGCCCTGTGCTTTAGACTTGGCACCCTATGGCTTGAGGAGGTGACACTGTGTCCATGTGTGTGTGAAGGGAGAATGGCTGAAGGTACTTGCAGTCCCCCAGACAAAATATGCGGGTGTGGGTCACACCCATGCACACATGCAGCAGGGGTCTTAGCCACACAGGTGCACGGCAGGGCACACCCATTCTTCCATTTTTATAAATACATACAAGGCTATACATATTTCTCCAAGTATTGTAGACATTGTTCCTTACAACTTTTTATATGCAGCATTTTTATTACTGCTCAGTTCTAAATATTTTTCTCTTTAATGGATACCATAGCAGTTTTTTATTTTTTGAGTAACATTTTATTTGAGATTATTGTAGATTCATATGTAGTTGCAAGAAATAATTTGATATTCTGTGTACTCTTTACCTAACTTCCCCAATTGTAAAATCTTATAAAATTATAGTACAAAATCGCAGCCAAGATATTGCCTATCTTTGCCTATTTTGTATTGATATAGCTGTAAGGTTATGTTGCTTATTCACTTTCTGTGCATACCGCAGTTACATAATGAAAAAAATAATAGCTTAAACCTTGGACCATGGCTCTGGCATATTCACTTGAAAGGAACATAAATCCTAATCCTGAGTTTGTCTCTGCCACTAGAAAGCAATATTTCTGTGTGTTATTTCATGAACATGGGCCTATATAATAATTTATCTGCCATCATTCCCCAGGCTGCCTCCATTATTTAATTTGATACCTCCCATGACAAATGAAAGTTTAGTTCATTAAAATGACTCACAGTTTTGGATCATACTTAAAGCTGACTATTATTATTTGCATTTCATTTTTTCTAACCATTGCTATATTTGTGTAGCCTAGATTGACATTAATTTTTTGGATAGTAGTCTGCAAATTTGCAAACTAAATAATTATGCCATGAGTTATTGTTCAGGAATCAGCTCTTATCAATCATCATGTGAAAAATTACTTTAATACAACGGTAGCCAACAAGTTCACTACTCAGCAAGCTATTCCAGATGACACAGAGCAGAACAGCTCACAGACAAAATTAAGATGCTTGAAGGACATATTTTTTAAAATCAATTAAAATACACAACAAGGCCAGGCGCAGTGGCTCACACCTGTAATCCCAGCACTTTGGGAGGAGGAGGCAGGAGGATCACTTGAACCCAGGAGGCAGAGGTTGCAATGAGCCAAGATGGTACCATTGCACTCCACCTGGGCAACAAGAGCAAAACTTCATCTTAAAAAAAAAAAATTAAAATACCCAACAACAACAACAAAGAGGTGGGCAACACATCTTGGATAAAGAACAAGAAGAGTAGAAGGATCTCATTATCTCAGTTGTGCTAGTTAATATATCTTCTCTCTTCCTCTCTGATGTTTCGGCATTCTCCACTGACTGTTCAATTTTGAGAACCAGAGTTGAGGTCTGTTTAAAGGGGCTCGGCAGATGGAAGAAGTCATGGGTCAATGACATACACTTGCTCTAATCAGAGAAATGCAGAGGGATTAGTATGCCTGGCCACAGATAAAGGTCATTAGCCTGGTAAGCTACGATGGATTTTACTGATATTTCTTCAATGGAGAACACAAATTATTAGAATGGGTGTCACCAAATAAGTAACCCAATTAAGACCTCAAAAACAGCAAGTGCTTCACGTGTGTCTCATGAATATTTACTGTTTGGTTCTTACATCCCTTTCTAACTATGTTTAATACTCATATGCTCTATTTACCTTATCTATGTCTATCATGATATATCTTACAAACTTGATTCTAACTCAGTTTCAAATATCCTTCTTTTTCCTTATTTTCTATATCAGAATTGAATGTTCTTAAATAATACAGCAAACACACATTATAGCAAACAATCATTAATAAGGATAAACTATCTCTATATATACTGACTGGAAGCATTCCCAAAATTTACTGAGTGAATGAAGCCAGAGAATTATGTATAGTATGCCACAATTTATGTGGGAAAAGGGTGATCATGTGGTTGTATTTGATATTCTTTCTCTGGAGGGATGCAGAGGAAACTGGTAACAGTCATGTTCTCTCAAGAGATAATTCATTGGCATATCCTATTTAACTTTCTAAATTTTGAAAATTATGTATATATTATCTACTAAAATCGATTGTGTCAAAATTTTACTTTTAATAATACTAAATAATTTTTCTTTTTCTACATGTAGGTATCAGAATGGCAAAGCAACTGAACCTTCCACAAAATACAGATGATTGGACCAAAGAGGATGTAAATCGGTGGTTAGAAAGTCACAAGATTGACCAAAAACACAGGGAAATTTTGACTGGACAAGATGTGAATGGAGCAGTGTTGAAGTGGTTAAAAAAAGAACATCTTGTTGATATGGGCATCACACATGGACCAGCTATTCAAATAGAAGAACTATTCAAAGAATTGCAGAAAACAGCCATTGAAGATTCAATTCAGACATCTAAGATGAGAAAGCCCAGTAAAAATGCTCCTAAAGACCAAACCGTGTCTCAAAAGGAAAGTAGAGAAACTTCAAAGCAAAAACAAAAGGATAAAGAGAACCCAGATATGGCTAATCCATCTACAATGAGTACAATTGCTAAAGTTTCTGAGTCACTAAAAGTTGAGCTCATAGAAGATAAAATAGATTATACAAAGGAAAGGCAACCATCCATAGACCTGACATGTGTATCATACCCATTTGATGAATTCAGTAATCCATATCGTTACAAGTTGGATTTTATTCTACAGCCTGAAACAGGACCAGGCAATCTCATTGATCCGATACATGAATTCAAAGCCTTCACAAATACAGAAACAGCCACAGAAGAGGATGTTAAGATGAAATTTAGCAATGAGGTTTTCCGATTTGCTTCAGCTTGTATGAATTCACGTACCAATGGCACTATTCATTTTGGAGTCAAAGACAAACCCCATGGGAAAATTGTTGGTGTCAAAGTCACCAGTGATACCAAGGAAGCCCTCATTAACCATTTCAATCTGATGATAAACAAGTATTTTGAAGACCATCAGGTCCAACAAGCAAAGAAGTGCATTCGAGAGCCAAGATTTGTGGAAGTTTTACTGCCAAATAGTACTTTATCTGACAGATTTGTTATTGAAGTGGACATTATTCCACAGTTCTCTGAATGCCAATATGATTATTTCCAGATTAAAATTCAAAATTACAACAACAAAACATGGGAACAAAGTAAAAAATTCTCAGTATTTCTGCGAGATGGGACCAGCTCTAAGGACATTATGAAAAATAAAGCTGATTTCAGAACATTTAAAGCAGATTTTAAAAGACTGGCAGAGTCCAGAAAAGCAGCAGAAGAAAAATTCAGAGCAAAAACAAATAAAAAAGAAAGGGAGGGACCAAAGTTGGTTAAATTATTGACAGGAAATCAAGATTTGTTAGATAATTCATACTATGAACAGTACATTCTTGTAACAAATAAATGTCACCCAGATCAAACAAAACACTTAGATTTCCTGAAGGAAATTAAATGGTTTGCTGTGTTGGAGTTCGATCCTGAGTCTAACATCAATGGAGTGGTCCAAGATTACAAAGCAAGCCGAGTAGCAAACCTTCACTTTCCAAGTATGTATGTAGAAGGGAAAACCACACCAAATGAGAAGATTTCTACTCTGAATCTTTACCATCAACCAAGCTGGATTTTCTGCAATGGCAGGTCAGACCTTGACAGTGAAAAATATAAACCCTTTGATCCAAGTTCCTGGCAAAGAGAAAGAGCTTCTGATGTCAGGAAACTGATTTCATTTCTTACCCATGAAGACATAATGCCAAGAGGGAAGTTTTTGGTGGTGTTTCTATTACTATCCTCTGTGGATGACCCAAGAGATCCCCTCATTGAGACTTTCTGTGCTTTCTACCAGGATCTCAAAGGAATAGAAAATATACTGTGTATTTGTGTACAGCCACACATATTTCAGGGATGGAAAGATCTACTTGAAGCAAGATTAATAAAACACCAAGATGAAATTTCAAGCCAATGTATTTCTGCTTTAAGCCTTGAAGAGATCAATGGCACTATTCTTAAACTAAAATCTGTGACTCAATCTTCAAAAAGACTTTTACCATCTATTGGCTTATCGACTGTCCTTCTGAAAAAAGAAGAAGATATCATGACTTCTCTGGAAATTATCTGTGAAAATGAATGTGAGGGTACACTGTTAGAGACGGACAAAAATAAATTCCTTGAATTCAAGGCATCAAAAGAGGAAGACTTCTATCGAGGTGGCAAAGTGTCATGGTGGAACTTCTACTTCTCTTCTGAAAGTTATTCTTCACCTTTTGTCAAAAGGGATAAATATGAAAGACTTGAAGCAATGATTCAAAACTGCGCAGATTCTTCTAAACCAACATGTACCAAAATTATTCACCTGTACCATCATCCAGGCTGTGGGGGAACTACCTTGGCTATGCACATTCTCTGGGACCTAAGGAAAAAATTCAGATGTGCTGTGCTAAAAAACAAGACAGTGGATTTTTCTGAAATTGGAGAACAGGTAACCAATTTAATCACCTATGGGGCAATGAACCGACAGGAATATATACCTGTACTGCTCCTTGTTGATGATTTTGAAGAACAAGATAATGTCTATCTTCTGCAGTACTCTATTCAAACAGTTATAGCTAAAAAGTACATTCGATATGAAAAACCTCTGGTGATTATCCTAAATTGTATGAGATCACAAAATCCTGAAAAAAGTGCAAGGATCCCAGACAGCATTGCCGTAATACAGCAACTCTCTCCCAAAGAACAGAGAGCTTTCGAGCTTAAATTGAAAGAAATCAAAGAACAGCATAAAAATTTTGAGGATTTTTATTCCTTTATGATCATGAAAACCAATTTTAATAAAGAATACATAGAAAATGTGGTCCGGAATATCCTGAAAGGGCAGAATATTTTTACCAAGGAAGCAAAGCTCTTTTCTTTTCTGGCTCTTCTTAATTCATATGTGCCTGATACCACCATTTCACTATCACAGTGTGAAAGATTCTTAGGAATTGGAAACAAGAAGGCTTTCTGGGGGACAGAAAAATTTGAAGACAAGATGGGCACCTACTCTACAATTCTGATAAAAACAGAGGTCATCGAATGTGGGAACTACTGTGGAGTACGCATCATTCACTCTTTGATTGCAAAGTTCTCACTGGAAGAATTGAAGAAAAGCTATCACCTGAATAAAAGTCAAATTATGTTGGATATGCTAACTGAGAATTTGTTCTTCGATACTGGTATGGGAAAAAGCAAATTTTTGCAAGATATGCACACACTCCTACTCACAAGACACCGCAATGAACATGAAGGTGAAACAGGAAATTGGTTTTCCCCATTTATTGAAGCATTACATAAAGATGAAGGAAATGAAGCAGTTGAAGCTGTATTGCTTGAAGGTATCCATCGATTCAACCCAAATGCATTCATATGCCAAGCGTTGGCAAGACATTTCTACATTAAAAAGAAGGACTTTGGCAATGCTCTAAACTGGGCAAAACAAGCAAAAATCATAGAACCTGACAATTCTTATATCTCAGATACACTGGGTCAAGTCTACAAAAGTAAAATAAGATGGTGGATAGAGGAAAACGGAAGAAACAGAAACATTTCAGTTGATGATCTAACTGCTCTTTTGAATTTAGCAGAACAGGCCTCAAGTGCATTCAAAGAATCTCAACAGCAAAGTGAATATAGAGAGTATGAAGTGAAGGAAAGGTTGTATCAGAAGTCAAAAAGGAGGTATGATACTTACAATATCGCTGGTTATCAAGGAGAGATAGAAGTTGGGCTTTACACAATCCAAATTCTCCAGCTCATTCCTTTTTTTGATAATAAAAATGAGCTATCTAAAAGAGATATGGTCAATTTTGTATCAGGAAGTGGTGATATTCCAGGGGATCAAAATGATGAATATAAATTAGCCCTCAAAAACTATATTCCTTATTTAACTAAATTGAAATTTTCTTTGAAAAAGTCCTTTGATTTTTTTGATGAATACTTTGTCCTGCTAAAACCCAGGAACAACATTAAGCAAAATGAAGAGGCCAAAACTCGGAGAAAGGTGGCCGTATATTTTAAGAAATATACAGATATATTTTGTCTCTTAGAAGAATCACAAGACATAGGTCTTGGATCAAAGTTCAGTGAGCCACTTCAAATAGAGAGATGCCGGAAAAGCCTAGTAGCTTTAAAAGCAGACAAGTTTTCTGGGCTCTTGGAATATCTTATCAAAAGTCAAGAGGATGCTATAAGCACTATGGAATATATAGTGAACAAATATGCTTTTCTCTTAGAACAATGCACTGTCAAAATCCAGGCAAAAGAAAAGTTAAATTTCATCTTGGCCAACATTATTCTCTCCTGTATCAAACCTACCTCGACATTAGTAAAGCCAGTTGAAAAACTAAAAGATCAGCTTCGAGAAGTCTTGCAACCAATAGGACTGACTTACCGGTTTTCAGAACCTTATTTTCTAGCTTCCCTCTTATTCTGGCCAGAAAATCAACAACTAGATCAACATTCTCAAAAAATGAAAGAGTATGCTCAAGCACTGGAAAATTCTTTCAAGGGGCAATATAAACATATGCATCGTACAAAGCAACCAATTGCGTATTTCTTTCTTGGAAAAGGTAAAAGACTGAAAAGACTTGTTCACAAAGGAAAAATTGATCAGTGCTTTGAAAAGACACTAGATATTAATTCCTTGTGGCAGAGTGGAGATGTGTGGAAGGAGGAAAAAGTCCAAGAACTTTTGCTTCGTTTACAAGGTCGAGCTGAAAATAATTGTTTATACATAGAGTATGGAATCAATGAAAAAATCACAATACCCATTACTCCCACTTTTTTAGGTCAACTTAGAAGTGGCAGAAGCATAGAAAAGGTGTCTTTTTACCTGGGATTTTCCATTGGAGGCCCACTTGCTTATGACATTGAAATTGTTTAAGGGTCTGATATTGTTCCTCTAAGAATTTGGTCTCAGTACCACCTAATTTTTTTAAACTCAAGATCGATGCTTTCAACTGGCAAGGTTATAGATACAGCCCCTAGCTCTTCAGACCTGTACATGCAGTATTTCACTTCCTCTTAAACATGTTATTAGTCCTACAAAGACAAGAGTGAAAATGGAAGGAGTGAAATACATGAAAAGCAGCAAATGTGTTCCTTGGTTTGGTTAACACCATTGATGACAAAATAATAAGGAGCTATGACTGGAGTCAGAAGAAGTTAGTGTAATAAGCTGGCTACACAGAACCCCACTACTTACCAGGCATTGATTGAAGAAGACTGTCTACTCAAATGGCATTTAGACATTAGAATGTCTGGGAAAATATTTCTCAAAGAGAGCAAAAACCTCTCAAACTGAGTAGCAACATTTATTCTTACTAAGCAGATCATCAATGTGTCATGTACTTGGCACTCAAGGATCTTCCAAAACAGAGGACCAACCAGTCTTCTGAAGGTCATGCCCACAGAAGTCATCAGACCTTACCAAAGTAGGCTGGAGAATTAGATTGCCTTTTCATGCAGTGAGAGTCAGTTAAGCAAAAATAAAATTTGTCTCTATAGCTAATTAGCTTATCAACTCCCCTCCAAACAAACAATTTAAAAAAAAACCTCACACTCAAATTCCACAAGATAATGAACAAAAGGGACTCTTGTGAGAAGACTAATGAGTCTCTCATCCAGAAGATGCCAATGTACTGGCAGATTAACATATAACCTATGTTTTGAACAAAAACAACCAGAGATATGTAATCAAAGTGTAATTTTCCCCTAATAAAATTATGGGTATGGGCAGTAATCATTGGCTGCCAAAACCATTAAGTAGAAAGCTGATTAAAAAAAAAAAAAAAAAAACTTTCTAATGGATTTCTCAAACTGTCCCAAATCCTGATAAATATTAACATCACAGAGGAAGACCACACATTATGGGTCTGGAAGTACTATAGGAGTGCACATATCACCCATGAGATGGTCTTGCCAAATAATTAAACCTGAATTTGATCAGGTCTCTGGATCTTATTTTTAATTCAAAAGAAATTAAAAAAAAAAATCCTACTAACACCACAACAAATATGCAACCAGTGATATCCAGAAAGTAGAAATTCACAGGACAAAAACCTGGTTTCTTCAACCAAAAAAGAAAGAAAGAAATTGCAAAGGACCAAAAAAAGGTTAGGGAATCTATACATTATAAGGGACTTAACAACTAAAGTGAAACACATAGACTTTAGATCCTAATTTGAGCAAAATCTAAAATCAATTATTAGGCAATCAGAAAAATTTGAACACAGACTAGATATTTGAGGATATTAAGGTACTCTATTATTGATTTGTTAGATGATATAATGATTCCATGGTTATGTTTTTCAAAGAGTTTGTGCCATTCATAGATACATACTACAGTATTTGTAAATAAATAATATGATCTGGAATTAGTAATTTTGTGTTTGGGGTGTAGGAGTGGTGAAAGGGAAGTAGAACCAAAACAAGATTGGTCCTGAGTTAACAATGGCTGCATGCTGGATACATGTATACTTTTCTCTCTCTTACTGATTGTGCTTTTGAAATTTTCTCTTGTAGAACATTTGGAAAACAAAAACAAGAAAATGCGATTTGTTTCTGTCTTCAAAATCTCATTAGAATTTTTTCACTGGAGGAAGTTTTTCCCTTTTTTCTGCATAAAATTTTAACTCCATAATTTATGAGCTCAATCTTTATTGCTACTTTTTAATTGACAAATAAAAATTGTATGTATTTATGGTGTTCAGCCTGGGCGTTTTGTTTGGCGTATTTGTTTTGATATGGGTGTATACTGTGAAATGACTAAATGAAGGTAATTAATATCTCCATCACCTCTCAAGCCCACTTGTGTGTGTGATGAGAACATTTAAAATCAACTCTCTTAACAATTTTCAAGTATACATTTTTATTAACTATAATCATCGTGTTGTACAATAGATTTCCAAAATGTATTCCTCCTAACTAAAACTTTGTACCCTTTGACCAATATCTCATTTCCCACTACCTCCCCCACTGCCCCTGCAACCCTGGAAACCACCATTCAACTTTCTGCTTCTAAGAGTTTAGCTTTTTTAGATTCCACATCTAAGTGAAATCATGCAGTATTTGTCTTTCTGTTCCTGCCTCATTTCACTTCAGCTCAATTTTTAAAACATGAAAGAAATCTTCTGGTCAAACGGAGTTTCAATTAGAATGTCCAGTCACGTTTTTCTCTGAAGCCACTTCCCAGTCTGCCCCAGGTTTCAGTTCACTCTACACAGAATTGTCTCTTCTGGAGTCCTACCTTCCCGGGTGATTCTTTTGAACTCAAATTAAGCCAGTTTAAGCAGATGTTCTGTCCCCCGTGATCTCCCTTGGGGGAACAGGAAACACTTATGGGTGTTTGTTCTGCCATTGGTAGAGAGTGAAGGTAATTTCCAGTTCGGGGAACAACATGTGTTGTAAATTCAGAGGGACACAGGTAAAGCGCTTCAAGTGAAACTTTTGAGGGCCCCCTATCTCAAGGCTTGAGAGAAGGGTCTCATAGGGGTATGAGAGAACTTTCTCCAAAAGAACCTCTTGATAAGCCCTCATTTCCTCAGTGCCAGCGGTGGGCAACCTATGGCCTGTGGCACAAATCAAGCCTACTGCTTGTCTTTGTAAATAAAGTTTTATTGAAACATAGCTCTGCTCATTTGTTGAAGTATCGTCTATGGCTGCTTTTAGACTACAACAACAGAGCTGTGTAGCTGCCACAGAAACCCTATGGGCCACAAAGTCTAAAACATTTACTATCTGGCTCTTTACAGGAAGTTTGTTGACCCCTGCTCTATGCAGTTAACTCTTCTATTATGTCTTTATTATAGGTCAACCGTCAAATTGGTTCTTAAACACCCTACTTTGAAAATATGCATTTTGGTTCATCACTTCTTTTGGTATCTGATTTTTATCATTTTAGAGCCAAAGTTAAATTTTAACATTTTTTAACAGAAAACAAGTCAATTTTAATATTGTACTAATTCAGACCCACTTTTCTAAAGAACACCAGTGTAATAAATGTGTGTGAGTTTTCGTTTGGAAAATTTAAAAATTCCTAAATTGTGCGGAATCAATTTAACAGGCACCTTGATCTATCATAATTAGCTTTACCTATTAGTTTTATATTTCCTTAGAACTATGAATTTGAGGGAGACACATTTTGACTCCCTAAATTTATATTCTTCTCATATGCAACATACATTCATTCCATCCCAGTAGCCCCAAAAGTCTCACTTGTTCCAGCACCAACTCCAATGTCTAAAGTCTAGAGTTCCATCTATATCAGTTATGGGTGAGACTTAAGGTATGACTCTTCATAAGGCAAATTCCTTTCCAAATGTGAGCCTGTAAAATCAAACAAGTTGTGTGTTTCCAACTACAATGGTGGGACAAGCATAGGATAAACATTCCTGTTCCAAAAGGGAGAAACAGGAAAGAAGATCCCAGGTCCCAAGTAAGTCCAAAACACAAAGCAAACAATATTAAATTTTGAGGTTTGCAAATAATCTTTGACTCCATGCCATGCCTCATGCACTCACTGGCGTGGAGGTTGGGCCCCCAATCCCTCAGACAGCACTGCCTTCATGGCTTTGCTGGGTGCAGCCCACGCAGCAGCTCTTAGGGGTTGAAGAGAAGCCTGAAGCTCTCTCAGGCTGGCACTGCACATTGCACACTGGTGGCTTTACAAGTCTGGGATCTCAGAGATTGTCCTGCCTCCACAATTCCACTAAACATTGCCACAGTGGGGGCTTTCTGTGGTGACCCCAACCCCATAACTCTGTTGGGCATTGCCCTAGTGGGGCCTTTCTGCAGTGGCCCCACTCCTACTGCTCCAATAGAAATTGCCCTAGTAGGGGCTCTCTGTGTAGCCCCATCCCTGTGGCAACTCCCTGAACTTTTTATGACTTAATCCCCTCCTGAAGGCTCCACCTCTTAATACTGTCACAAGCGTGATTACATTTCAACATATAAATTTTGCAAAGACACATTCAGACCATAACAGAAGGTGAGATTAAAATATTAATGATTTTCTCTTTCACAGGCCAGCAGTTCTCAATTGAACAGAACTCCTGAAGGTCTTTTCAAGCTGCACATTCTATTTCCCAGTTCAGATACAACCTAGGGTAGAAAGACATCAGATTTTTTTTTTTTAACTGTCCCTTTGGAAACCACTAATTAGGTCATTGTAGTACACAATAATTTCCAAACTCAGCATTCAAAAAGAAATGTTTATCAACAGTCCTAAAACAAATGGTAGCCTCAATAAAAGAAGTTTAGAAACTATAGCATGCCAAATTTTGCTTTTGGCTATTTAGGATGTTAAAAAAACAAAAAACAAAAAAGAAAGAAAGAAAGAAAGAAGCTCTCAGAAAGTAATACCAAAGGGAAGATTATTTAACTTATTTCTCTAAGAACAATAAAATTAGTTTAATTCCTCATTATTTTTATATCCCTTGCTCCTCCAAAGGTCTCCCTGTTGCACTTAAAATGTGCTTAAAAAAAAAAAAAAGAAAAAAAAAGTTCATATACACTGAAATAATTATAGATTTTTCACTTTCTCTATTGTCAAGAAGCTGATCTCCAATTAAAATGTATATACTATTGTTCTTTGTTCTTTTATATATTTTTAAAATTAAAATATGTATGTACACCACCATCATAATATCATAGCTAAGTTTTAAATTCTATGGCATCCATTATGGCCTGAAAATCATACCTCACCTCTGAGAACATGCAGGTAAGTCAAAAATTGCTTTGCCTTTCATTAGTGGAAGAAGGGAATTGTTCAGTTTGAAATCCAGAAATCTACCCTTTAGTGATAAGCTATCACCATTTCTTCCTAGTTGAAGTAAATATAATTTAATCCCATGTTTTAGCGATTCACTGAAGTTGATGCTCTGCAAGTGAAATTCCTAGCAAGAAACAGATGACACATTTAAAAGTAGTCCTTTGAGGAGAGTTTAATAAAAGAACTATTTTCGAAAGTGTGGATAGGGAGTAGGGAAGTCTCAAGGGATAAAGCAGTGCCCTGAGACTAGCTAGTAGCATGAGGAGCACCTACTATCCTTGTTCCTGAAGGGCAAGAGAAGGGAACTGTTAGCAGGATGGCGGTGGGAGTAAGGTGAGGGTGCTTTCTGGAGAGGACTGCTTAATAGGAACTGTGACCTTCAGTAGAGGGATGCAGCCAGCCTGAGGTACCCCACAGGGAGAAAGCCCAGGGGAATAAATAATGTAGTTTTACTCTTATTCCTCCCTTTAATCTCCTGCCTTTGCTTCCCATTGGTTCAAATTCAACCAGAAACTAGAAGACAAGGGAACCCACTGATACAGTTCATACAGATCAGCAAGGTACAGAAAAGAGGAGAGCGTATATGGAGGGACAAACAAGATATCCAGCATGGTATCCCTGAAACTCTTTAATTCCTACAACCATCTCCAGTACCCATTTAAGTTTGAAACTTAAATGACATTGACAAATGACCTTAAAAAGCAAATTTCTTTCACTATTCCAAGGTGATAACAGTGACATCTTAACTTGATTTTAGTCTTTGTCCATTCACCTAATCTTTCTGTTTTTTAAGAAAGCAGTTGAAGAGGACTTACAGGGAATTATTTAATGGGTACATGCTTGAGAACTGATTTAATTTTGCCTTCATTCTTAACTATTACTCCCAATACATATCTGTTTCCAATTTATGGAAGTTTTGTGTATGTTTCAGGAGAACTTTAAGCTCCAAAACAGGGGCTATCCTTTCACTCATACCTTGAACCACGTGGCAGGTTTTCAAAGATGTGTGAACATGGTATGTAAACTGACCAAGGTGGGCAGTGAGAGAGTTCTATCCGTTGTATCTCAGCTGTGTTTTCTTGCACTAATGCTTTTATTATTACTATTATTTGTTGTTGTTGTTGTTTTCTGTTTGTAGATTATGTTTCTCATTCCCTTGGGAATGCTACAAAAATTCTAAGGTTAACACTTTATCTCCCCTTTTCGCCAGGTGTTTTTTCAATCTGTTACTCCAGGTCCTTCAAGAAGTAGATACCAAGAAATGATTAAATGTGTGAAGATTTTATTAGAAAGCCTAGGAGTAAAAATTGGAGATCTAGTAAGTCAAGGATGCTTCACTTCTCCTTCACTTGGGTCAGATTTTCATCCCAGTTTGATGGCTCTCTCAGTCTTACCAGAATCCAATCATGCTTTCTCTCTCTCTCGGGGTGTGTGTGTGTGTGTCTGTGTGTGTGTATTTGGGAGATATAACAGTCTGTTTGTGAGAGTGACTCATATATATGTGTATATATCATATGTGTATATGATATATATATACACACATATATATATCACATTATATATATGTCACTCTATATAAGATATGTGTGTGTGTATGTGTGTGTCTTAGCTAGGCACAGTGGCTCGCATCTGTAATCCCAATGTCTGAGGAGGCTGAGGCAGTAGGATTGCTTGAGGTCATGAGTTTGAGACCAGCATGGGCAACATAGTGAGACCCCTTCTCTACAAAAATTTCCAAAATTAGCTGGGAGTGGTGATAAATACCTGTGGTCCCAGCTACTTGGGAGGCTGGGGTGGGATGATAACTTGAGCCAAGAAGTTCAAGATTGCAGGGAGCTATTATTGCACTACTGCATTCTAGCTTGGGTGACAGAGCTAGACCCTGTCTCTAAAATAATATATACATACATACATACATACATAC